ACAATAAATTTATTGATAGTTATGCAAGTATTCGACATCCTTTAAATAACTTGTTAAAGAAAGATGTAAAATGGGTGTGGTCAGAAAAGTGTCAACAATCCTTTGAATTTTTAAAAAATGTAAACCAATGTAAACCAGTTTTGTAAACCAATTTTGAAAATTTTTAATCCTAATCATGAATGTAATCTTTTTGTTGATGCATCGTTAGCTGGAATTGGTGCTGTGTTAAAACAGACAGATGAATGTGGCGTATTGCATCCTGTAGCTTTTCATACTCGTTCCTTAAGGGACTATGTAAAAAACTATGCAATTACAGAACTTGAACGTCTTGCCATAGTAGATTCTTTAAATAAATTCCATCATTACCTTTTTGGCCAAAAATTCTCCATACATACTGACCATGCTGCTTTGGTTTGGCTAAAAAATATTAAAAATTTAAAAGGTAGATTATTTAGATGGTCATTATTGTTAAGTATGTATGAATATGATATTAAATACACAAAAGCTTCTACTAATGTTGAAGCAGATTGGCTTTCGAGAGATGCAACACATTCACTTGTCAAAATCAATAGTAAAAATAATAATGCTCGTGTTTCACATTTCTTAAAATTGAGTGAAATAAGTGAAGCTCAAAGGAATGATAACTTACAAGGTAATTTTGCTGATATCAATAATGTTTTATGTGTACGTATAAGAAAAATTTTACTAAAATAGTTGTTCCATTTTCGTTGAGATTAAAACTACTGCAAATTGCTTATGATAAATTTAACCATCCAGGAATCCAAAAAATGATTAACTTAATAACCCCTGTTTATTATTGGAATAACATAACTTCAGATATAACAAAATTTTGTAAACATTGTCATACGTGCCAACTAAATAAAAAACCGCGACAAAAAAGATTTGGATTATTACAATCCTTACCCCCTGTTAATCAGTCTTTTGACTTACTAGCAATAGATAGTGTAGGCGGATTAAATTTCTATAATTCAACAAAAAGTATTTAACTTTAATTATTGACCACCTCACGAGATACATTTGGGCTTTTGCGTCAAAATCCATTAGTTCAGAAACCTATACTAATTTTTTACATCAAATTTTTCAAAATCAAATTCCTAAATCTTTGTTAAGTGATCGAAACGTTGCCTTTGCTTCTTCTCATTTTAAAAAGTTTTTGAAGCATAATAAGATTGAACAATTATTGACAACTGCACATCATCCGCAGTCTAATGGCAATGTAGAACGCCTTGGTCAAACAATAATTACACGTTTAAAATGTAAAATTAATGAAAAACCTACTAAAACTCCCTGGCCTACTTTGTTAAAAGATAAATACTCATAATTTAACTCCCCATTCTGTAACAAAATTTCCACCTGCATACCTCATGCGTGGTAGACTCCCCTATGAAAATCCCTTAAATGAAGAAATCTATCCACCTGTTGAGGAAGCTAAAAAAATAGCAATTCAAAGAACCAAAGAATATCATGAAAGAAATAAAATTTATTATGATGCTAGATTTTCAGATATAGACTTTAAAACTTTCATCAAATTTTGAATGCCAGGAAAATGACATATTAGCTTAGAAATTAAAAAAAAAAAAAGAACAAAAAGAAGAAGAAGAAAAAAACAGTAATTTTAAACTAGTAATAGTAAGTCACTCAACTTAAGCATTTGCGTTAGATGGACCATGATTTGCTTAAATTAATTCTTTTATCCACTGTAGAAAGAATCAAAAATGTTTTTGTTGCTGACATGTATAGAATAAATTTGTGTATAATAATCAATCATTAAATAAATAAATGACTCTGATTACATTCAAGCATACTACAATCTCACATAAATTTGGTATTAGATTAATATTTGCTTTCCCTCTTTGCAAATTTCTGGCAACTGTGTCAATCTCCTTGCATTCATAAGTCAGGAAAATGACAATTTGCCATTTAAATAGCATTTAACATTTCAGCCTAAGACGTTTATATTTTGCAGAAAACGACAGGATTTCTTGAAATAAGTCAGGTAAATCCCCGGCACTAAACCTCGGAATGTAACCTTACGACCCCAGCCAAAACAAATTATTAGAAATCGTTAGTCCCGCAGTGGACTGATCGTTAAGACACGGTTTCCAGCAGATCACCGAAGTCAAGCATCACTGGCTCCGGTCAGTGTGTGGGTGGGTGACCACTTGGAGCAGTGTGCTTGGGGACCGAGGGTGTGCGGTATTGGTCCTCGTTAAACTGTTCTACCGTAAAGTGCTCGACTTCACGTGCAGGTCGTCGGGCTACCGAAGCGGGGGTGCCATCCCCTCTGCAGAGGGGGTGGCATCCCCTCTGCAGGGGATCAAAATTGTGATGGCATGTCTTCGAATCATCCTCAGGGATGTTTCCCAGACCGTCGCCAATAGCTCATTGTGTTGCTCTAGTGCGACGTAAATGAACAACAACAATAATAGAAATCGGTAGAATTATTTTTTTTTTTTTAAATTATAGATAAAAAATAAAAAAAAAGAATCAAGTAGAGTATTTTCCTTAAAAAATATCGAGACAAAAATTGTTTAGAGCTTGCCATACTGTAAAAAATAAGGTTCTGAAAATTATTATTAGTGCCCTCCGGGGATCGAACCCACTACATCTGTATTGATTGGGAGAGATTACTATCGAAAAAAAAATAAAAAAATCACGATTATTTTTATATTGGACTGCATCTTTCTATTATATTTTGTTTACCATATAATATGTAATGTATTTTTTTTTTAAGTGAAACGATAGAAGCTATTAATGTCATGTAAATTAAGCTGTGATGGTTGAAAAAACTTTTAGTAAATACACTATGTATAAACGATTGGGCAAGATTTTTACAGAAAAAAAAATTCTTATATTTCATCGCAACTCTCCATTAATCTTTTTTCCCCGTATAATATGTACGAAATTTTCTTGACTTAAGTGTTTAACTTAGAATTTTAAGAGTGACTTAAAATAAAAAGCGAATAAATTATAGCTTAAATAAAAATATAAGAATCAACTAGAATATTTAAAAAAAAAGTGGGGCAAACATGGTTTGGAACACGATACTGCTAAATAGTGCTGATAAATAATTATAAAAATAATGTATATATGTACTACTAAATTTTTTTTTATTTTATTAAGTTGCTCTTATAATTATTTATTAAGTTTTACTTCCATAGATGGCGCCTGTACTTCAGTGTGTCAAAGAAAGAAGTTTAAACAAATCCTGTAATTTGTCTATATTTTTACAACTTGTGGTGGTGTGTGGTACGTCTTATAACATTATATTTTACCAAAAATCCAAGTTGTAGAATAAAATTTGGGGAAAATATAGACCATTATGTATATTAAGNCCCCCCCCCCGCTCGAGTGTGGTGCATGTAGACATTGCAACAATATATCTGATCAAATTTGGAAATTACAGGTTTCCAAAAATCATAACGGATTTTTGTAGATAAAGTTGAAAGAAATGAAGTCCCCAAAGGTTACACTTCTTGGGAACCTAATGTAATTAAAATCTAAATTTTTACATCAATTAGCGCTTCTTATCCTTACATGTGAGGTATAATTTCTTTTGTAATTTTTTTTGTTGAATCAAATGAAGCCACGTGAAAAACTATTAGTTTAAAAGTAAAAAAAATTGTATAAGAGTACAGTTCTGTACTTATAGCTCGTCTAAAATTGCCATGACATTCATTTCCTATGTATTGGTTGACGCTGAGTCGAAAGAGATCAGAACCAATGCGATAGAACTAATAGTTTAGAAGTCATGAGGGTTTCATGCTTAAATATGAAGTTAAAAAAGACGCTCTTAGTATTCAAAACACTTATGTCTTCTATATTATTCATTTCATCGACTTATGTTTTTTCTCATTCGATTTAGCGTAGGAAACAATGTATCATTTCTCAAAATAAGAATATTAAACGCGTGTATGTAAAATCAAAATGTACATTTCCTATACATTATGTATAGCAATTTTAAATTCTAAACTATTGGTTTTATTCACTTGGGCTTGGTCTCCTTTAATTTACATAAAATAATACATATTAAATAAATACCTCACTTGTCGAGATTGCAATGTCTGATGAGCGAAAATTTTGTAACATACAAAAACTTTTTAACTTTTAAGCATGAGTTTTTTAAACTGGGTTTAATTTTTTAAAATTCAGCCTAAAAGAATATATGAGAAGTAATCTTTCACTTGCCTAGACAGTAATGTCACAGGTGTATAACACAAAATGGCATAAATACAAAAGCATACATTTTGTACATAAAAACTTCAATAGCTTTCGAGCTGTTAATTCGATTAATTTGGTTTTGGGTTTCTTTCGATTCAATGTAAAAATACGTTGAAAACAACATCTCACTTGTCTAGATAGTTAAAGTCTAACCTGTCTTTTCTCCATTTTGACCCCTTCAGCAAATTAATGATTGAGGTTCGCCTCGGAACAAGGCTTTGAATTTAATTTATAACTTTTAAAGTATTTCCTAGATTCCCCTAATTATTTTTGTATTATTTTTTTTAATGAAATATTAATTGAAGCAGTATACTGCAGAGCAATAGAAAAAAAGAAAAATAAATTTTAAAAAATAAGTGCTGTTCGAAAAAATTGCACTTTATTAATTTATTTACTTTCAATTATACGGCAGTATATAACTGTCATTGAATTGTCACGAGTTAAAATCAAGCAAGTGTTATTTTTAGCAGAAAACGCAGCACTTATAAGCAGCCTTAAAATTGGTTTAAAAAAAATTACAAATACTTAATATTTAAAATTTAAGGTTGGAAAAGGAAAAATAAAATTATCTAATTTTCGTTCAGAACATGACGATGTCTTTCCAACTCCACAAATTGAAGAAAACAGAACCTCTCAGAGATATATATTAATCTTGGAACAAAATTCATTGGGTAGAGATGACATCGTTACAGCTGCGTTTTCATTGGTAGATGATGACATCACAAACCTAATTCTAACTGAGTGACGTAAACTTCGGCAGACGATGAAACTGAGTATCTATTCTAAAATCACTACTTTTCTTTTACGTTCATTATTCTTTTTTTTTTACTATGTCAATGTTTTCCTTTTAAATCTGTTAACGCTGGTCCAGAAAGGGGAACGGCCGTTACTTGACCTTGTGCATCGGAAAGCATCTAATTTTGCACTTTTAATAAAAGTATTTTTATTTAAAAATAATTTTTGTATGATTTTTTTTATTTATCGAATGAGTGACACCTCGGGTAACCTGTTCTTGACACCTTTATAAGCATTGACGGATGTAAGTTGCCTTTAGTAAAACTATTTCGTTTTTGCATTGGTTGAAATTTAGTTTTAGAATTTTTGGACAAACAGTTCTTTTAAATAATTATTAGATATTTGTTATGAATAAATTAGAAAGCAAAATTTTCTGTAATTTTGTAGAAACAGTTTAAAAATATTTATCATAAAAATCTTTTTCCTTTTTCGAAATTTAAAATTTCAAGTTATCACATATTTACCATATTAACAAGGTCTATAAGCAAGTAGAAATAGACCAAAAATTTTTATTTTTTTGGTAATATTTAATTTTTTCTTTAAAAGATACTTTATATAATATCAATTTTTTATATTTTAAGCCGAAAATTGTTAAGTTTAGAATCTAAAGTAACATTATGTCTAAAATATATATCGTAGGTAAATAAATAACCTGAAGCTAAATAAATAACCTGATCCTAAGATTGGGTAATTGAAAATTAGCAATTTCGAAATTTACTTATTTATTTTTTTATTTTTATCAAATATACGCATTTAATAATTGAAATTGAAATTTCCAGCACATTCGGTGACACCCAAATATTACATTTCGTTATACCTAAATCTTTATATTCTAAACTTTACATTTTTGAACTTGACAGCTGAAATTTGTTTTACATATATACTTTAAAAAAAAATTACAATTTTAGTTTTTCACTCAGAAAGCGAAACTTTATGCTCATTCCGGGAATTCTAAATATTTCTTAATTTGACTAAAATAATAAATTTGGCAAATGTATGAGTATTTAGCGGTAAAAAAGCTATCAATTAAATTATTAAAACGAATCTAGCCTAAAACAATACTTTAAAAATATTAAAAGAAAAAAATTGTGAGTAAAAATATTTTTCACTCTTACAATTGGTCTTACTTGATTTTGCGTATTACAAAACTAATTTTTCTGTTTAAAAAAGTAATCACCTTATTCTGTGGATGTTAGATATTTTATCAAATAATAACAAATCAATTTTGCTTTCATTATAAAATATCAATTTGAGTTTAGAATATTTCAATTTTACGTTTGCTATCGTTAGACTGATTTCAAATGTGCATGTTAGTGTGCATGTTAGCAATTATTATGTTTTATTGAAATCGTTATTCTTTCTAATTAATGTGTACGTGAAGTAAGAAATGAAAAGTTAAAATTACGACTTTTTGTCGTATAATAACTCAGAAGCTGTTCGACTGATTTCATTTATATTTTGTATTTCGTTTTAAAATAACAATAGTTAAAAATGATGCAATAATATGCATACCTTGCAATGCAAAATATTTTTGACTATTACTAAGTAAAATAATAAAAAATAATTATATATAACGAATTATTTTTGTAAAATTTTGAGTTTTTTTAATTGTTTAGATCGCTTGAAAAGTTTTTAAAATGGTCAAAATACGAAAAAAGAGAAATTAACATTTAGGGGAACTCTCTTCACACTCAACTCACTAATAAAAAATATAAAAAATTTAAACGTGACTACTCTCACCAAAATTCCAAATCAGGGAAAGTTCCATAAGCATAGAGAAAGTACGTTTTTATGTGTGATTTTCTCAACTCAGTATAAATTACTGATTAATTTGCTTCGCGCGCAGGTCGTTGGGCTACCGAAGCGGGGGTGCCATCCCCTCTGCAGAGGATCAAAATTGTGATGGCATGTCTTCGGATCATCCTCAGGGATGTTACCCAGACCGTCGCCAATAGCCCATTGTGCAGCTCTAGTGCGACGTAAATCAACAACAACAACAACAACAACAACTGATTAATTTGCAAGTTTGAAGTCTACCTTTTGAACCATTAATATTGACACAAAGTGCGTAAAAATCCGATGATTGGAACAAAGGTTAGCCAGACACACCACTAACTATCATAAAACTTCTGTGATTCAATTTTGTGTTCTAAAAAAGTGATAACCCTTTGATTCCTAGCTTTTAGTTCCATTACTGATTACGTAAAGCTCAATTGTATTGTGTTGTTTTTAAGTTGTCATGAAATAAAAGGAATAATGTTTGTCATTGTTGAATCAAAGGATTGATTCTAATTTGATAAACATAATCAGGCTTTTTGCGAAATATTCCTTCTGGTGAAATTAATCAGAAATTTTCAAAATATTAAAAGAGGACGCTATACAAAGTTTCAAATGATTAATTTTTATTTTTTTTTTTGAATATTAAATTCACGCAAAGTATGGTAGGATTACTTGGGATTTCGCAGTGAAGTAATCTTGCATTTTGATATTTTGGAGAAAAAAAGTTTGGCTTACTCTAGATTTACCTTTTCTCCAAACTCTAATTTATTTATACCGTCGTCTATAAATTAACATCTCTAAAGAATAAATTAGAAAAAAAATCTTTACGTCATCATTAGGAAATGAGTGAGGGAAAGAATCATGACATTGAAGGTTTTTATATCAAGGTCGAATCTAATTAGTGTACCTTTAGAGTCTTACTACCAAAGATTCTTCAATTTTGCATCAATTTTTACCTTCTAGTGTTACGCCAAATTCTCCAGCTGGAGATACGGAAGAGTGAACGAATTTAGTTTGATTATTAAATTTGTCTAATTTTAAAAGCTTACATCAGAAAGTTTTAATAATGTTGTGCCTGAATAAGGAAAAGTTAAGCTTTAGGATAGCTTCCATTAATACTAAAACTCCTTTTTTTAAGTCAGCTTTTTAAATAGTACCAAAGTTTATTTTTTAAATAATATTCCTTAGGTTTTTTCAAAAACAGTTTCAAAAGCTGGGTTCATTTAAGCTAATAAAGCCTTAATATAAATATAGGTTTCAGCGAAGTTGTTTAGTATACTTCTGGTGTAATAATATTTATATATAATATGAGTTCTCAAAAAAAGCATTTAAGAGGGTGATATTTCATAACTCAACACAACTCAACTCAAAGTCCTGCTCATCAATTCTCCCCTTTTATCAGATTAAATTTGATCTCTCAAGATTTACTTTTTCTAGGTTTTAAAGCGTTTCGTGGTATATTTTTCAGATATTAAACACTTAATAATTGTCGGAATTAAACAGTATTTTTCCATAGCATAATTTCATAATACAGTATAAATATAAATCCATTTTTCATTGTAATTAGGACAAATGTGGAGAGTTTTTCGAAAAGTTCAAGCAATTAAAAAAATGGTTATTATAGTAATGAAAGGAATTTCTCCAAATAGTAAACATTACAAGATTGAATTCAAAAACGAAGAAAAAACTTAAAAAACAAGCGTGAAATAAAGTAATTTCTTCAGATTATTAATAAATATTCATAATAATTCCGTATTTGGTAAAAAAAGTATAATAAATTGTGCATGATATGCATTTTCAACGAAAAAAAGAACGATCAGGTGGTGACTTGTAGGAAATTTTTTATTCGCTGTTTGTTACATATAGTTGGCCTGTGGCCCGGTGGTTATAGTAAAACAAAAAGTGGTTTCACAAAATCTTAGAGTAAACTAGGAAGTTTCAAATGCTGAAAGAATTTTTTCAAAATATCAAAATGCAAAAAAGTTATTAGTAAATGAAGCTCCCATAGAAAAAGCATTAGCTGCTGGCATTGAGAGGGTTGCGTCCTCTTAATTTCTTGTACATTTTTCTTTAAACATCTTTACGATTTCACGTCTCTACATATAAAAACCTGAAAAGTTTTCCCGTTTCTACAATACGCGAACATTATGATCTCCGCGTAGTAAAACAAATCGAGAAACAAAAACTGCGGCCGATGCGTTTTATTTAATGTTTGGAGAAATATTTTAAAACAAAAAAATCTGTTATTTTTAAGGTAAAAAAGTTGGAGGGTTTTTGAAATCGTTTTTATAATTGAAATATAAAGTTCCCAATAACTTTACTATGGAAAAAATATATTATAAATTTCAAAAGAAAAATCTATGTAAAAACGTAGCACATTTTTCAGATTTGTAGCACTCTAAAATTAATGAGTAGCCCAAAAAGTAGCTCAAACCCCAAATTTGATTTTCATTAGCAAGGAATTAGTAGTTAGTTAACAAATTACTAATAACTTAGTTAATTAATTGTAGCTAGAAATATATTGGGTCCTAAAATTTAGCCATTTCTGGGTACCCGTTAAAAATCGAATTTTTTACCCAGTTAGTTCTGGGTATCCGGTAAAACTTGGATTTATTACCCGGCCGGGTATTAAGGCAAAACAACGAAAATTTATGTAATATTCTACGGAAGAAATATTTTATAAGATATCGTCCTGAGGAAATTTCTCTACGTCTTTTATAGAAATGTTTTTATTTTTAGATTTTTTTAAAAAACTAAATTGAAAAAGTTTTTAAAAGGCATGACTGTTTGAAAGTAGAATGATTACCGTATAACTTTGCTATGAAATAAAGACATCTACTAATAGTACACTTAAATATTAAATTAATTCTTCATTTCGAATAATTAAATTTTCAATAGCATTTATTTCTGCTAAACGTTAAATATTTTAATATTTTTTTAAGAAATGACAGCATATTAAATGAAAAGTGATTCAACTAACATTCCATAATCATTCCATAACTGTAACTTTATTTACGTGCATTGGTCCCGCAGTGGACTGATCGTTAAGACACGGTTCCCAGCAGATCACTGAAGTCAAGCATCACTGGCTACGGTCAGTGTGCGGATGGGTGACCACTTGGATCAGTCTGCGTAGGGACCGAGGGTGTGCGGTATTGGTCCTCGTTAAACTGTTCTGCCGTAAAGTGCTCGACTTCGCATGCAGGTCGTCGGGCTACCGAAGCAGGGGTGCCATCCCATCTGCAAAGGATCAAAATTGTGATGGCATATTTTCGGATCATCCTCAGGGGTGTTTCCCAGACCGTCGCCAATAGCCCATCGTGCAGCTCTAGTGCGACGTAAATTCACTACAACAACAATTTACGTGCATTGAGATTTACCTTCGTACAATCATTTAAACTTTTAAGATTTTTAGTAAGAAATTCTTATTTGATAATTAATGTTGAACGGAAGATATATATAGCAGTTATGCTGCCCTTAATGTTACGATTCTGTCTGAAAATCAAAGTAATTTTGAGCCTCCAAAATATAAAGTAACTCATTGATCAAGCAACAAACTAGGGACAACTTTGTTTAAATGTAAAATTTTAATTTCATGTTCACCGAAACTAACGCGTATTTACGTTGAGAGTTGGGAAAAACAAATCATCAAAGTGATTCGAATCAATAGAATCAGTTCTTTTTAGTGAATCAAATCATTTGATTCGAACCACTTACTGATTCGAATCATTTACTGATTCGAATCGCTTACTGATTCGAATCAATGGTGGTTTGATAATGAAATTGATAAAAATGATTTATCTATTATAAAATTGGCATTAAAATAGAAATCTTAAGTCCTTAATAATGAATGCGTAAGAATCTCTAAGGTTTTACAAGAAATTTTTAACTATGTATGACATAGCATCACTGTGAAATAAAACTAACTGAAATTTAAGAAACATTAATTCATTATAATTTAAATCTCTTCTGATAAAATCAACTGATACGAATCCTGATTCGAATTATTGATTTGAATCGTCGAATTAGTACCAAACTCTATTTGCGTTAAGAGGCGAAAAAGGACTAACGAAAACCTGTCATGGATCAGCCCACTAAGAAAATTTTACCGGAATTTCTTCTAAGACCAGTGGAAATTTGTCAAACGAATGATTGTACCCAATTTTTTTCTTTTCAATTCCAGCAACTTTCTCTCCAATTTATTCATTTGTATTGTATTTTATTTTGCCCTTACACAAAAGCGTTTTTGAACTTAGCCTCTTGATTTTCGGGCAAACGAAGCATTTTATTTTGTAACTCAATCATTTTTCACAAAAAGGGAAAAGTATTTAAGATCGTATTTTATACTAGTTGGTTTTTATTCGTTAATTTTAATTTGTTAAGTATAACAAAAATAGCCAATGGTATCATAACACCTTATATCATGATTAAACTATATTTCTATAAGAACTTCTGATAAGTTTTTAAAAAAAATTTGTTAATTTTTTTTATTTAGTTTTGAAATATTTTTAAGGAGTAATAAAAAGCAAATATAGTATGCTTAAAGCAATATATAATCCATTTTATGAAAATAATAAAATAAAATCATAGTTTTTAATATTGTTTTAAAAATAAAAATTTATTTGAGCAAATTTGAACAAATAAAACAAAAATCTTATATAAATAATTACAACATAAAATATAAATTTCAAGTATATAAATGAAATGTTATTAATTTTTTTAATAAAATTCATTCCTAGTTTTATTTTTACTGGCAATAGAAGCATTGTTACTTTTTCATTAAGAAAAAAAAAATAAAATAAAGCAAGAAGCAATTAAATGCGGGCATTGTTTTGTGACTGATATTTTGAAATACTCAATTTGCAGACGCTCCCAAGATTCTGCGCAAATGAAGTCTCTCTTTTTGTTGCAGGGAAGAATACAGGTGGGAGGGTGAGTCATATTCTGCGTTCAGAAGAGACTGAGAATGTGCGTTTCGCTATTCCAGTGGTTTATTTCTTCCATATTTAGAAGATGACTCAGTGTTTATGTTTGCTTAGGAATAACATTAAAGGTAAGCAATTTGATCATTTCATAGAGGTTATTGTTATCAACGATATTTTTTTAATTGACATTTATTTCATTTAAGAGTAGTAAGACGTTTTCGAGAGCGTGAATTAGCTTTTTTTTAACCATTATAAAATATAGTTTTTTTGATACGAACTGTATTTCGATTGCAAAAATATTGTTCTTTAGAACCAAACGATTTTTTTCTTTTGTTTTCAGTAATTTCAATTTATAATTATATTTTAATATTTTAGAATACTGTGTATTAGTAATCAACTATTTTGTATCAGTTTTATTTTAAATGTCTTTTATAATGTGTTTTATTATTTGAAATAGGTTTTTATAATTTAATGATCATGTGATAAACAATAATATGATACGCTATAAAAAGTGTAGCTGAGAATAATTAGTATAAATTCACGTGTTTTAAAAATAGTTTGTCTGATTTAATCTTCAGTCTTAAGCAAAAAAATTGCTTAAGAAAAGCAATAAACAGGGAAATTTTGAAATTATTTAAATTTTGTATGAGTGTAACTAAATATGCAAATGCCGATAAACACATTTAAAATAAAATTTGACTTTTATTGATTAGCATTAATATGCACTTTGAGTAAAATACAATATTGAAAACATTGATATGTATCAATGAGTGTAGTGAGTTACCTGCATTCCTAATCTAAAATATTGAATAAGTACTTAAATATTTGCAAATTAATTAATACTAGCACATATTTCGACTATGTGATTGTTGACAGTTGACAAACATCAATTTTGGTTTTTCTTTAAGCTAAGCTAACGATAATATTGGACAATTAATCCCACAGTGTCCACTAAGATGTATCATGTTGTTTTGTATCAGATGTATTTTTGAAATTTAAATTTTCAAATCAATAAAAACTGGACTCTGTGGGTCATATGTTAACGAAATAAATAAATTTATTATCTAGTTAATAAATAAAATAAGTCAAATTAAAATACATGTTAGTCTTTCGGAATAAACTGAATTTTTTTTCCTCTGTGGACAAAATCCGTATAATTCAAAAATATTTTTAACCCTTCAACCCAGATGGGACACCTGTGTTTCGTTTATACATATTTTTTTCTGACGCTCTAATTACGAACAAATATGTATTTTCGTATTTTTCAATTATGAAAAACAGTCTAATAGTTACTAAAAAAATATGTTGGATTATTGCAATTATATTTGCACTAAAATATAAAATCCAAAAAAAGTAGTTTTAAATTTTTTTTTCTATTCATATTCAAAAATGTATCAATAATTGAATTTAAAAACTAACTAATTTCAATGATGAATAATTGTTTCTCATTGATCTAAATAACTGCAAAATAATTTAAATTTGAAAAATTATCGTTTGGAAGTGAGCCGTGTTTGGAAGTTATAACCTTTAACGCAGAAATAGACACCGCTGTTTCATGCTGTATTTCATAACCATATATTATTAAAACGAACGTTAAATATACGTCTAACCTGTTTATCTCGAATCTCACGGGAAAGGCGAAAAATTCGAGATAAAACGGTTTCGAGTTATACAGGTACTTTAAAAAAATTAAATTTAATTAAAAAATTCTATTAAAAGTGCTTTAATTGTTATTAGTAGAGAAATATAGACATTTCTTTAAATTAATTATACCACATACATCTACTTACACAGCAGTTTTTTAACATACATTTAACACTGAAAATAATTTTTCCAAGATTTTTGACGTTTAACCTTATTTGTTTCGATTATTCTTTTGACGTTAGAAAGATCGCAAATTCCTCATAGCCAACATTTTCCTGGGATTCAAGAGTAGTTTATAAGAATTCTACAGTTTTTTCTACTTCTTTTGTATTCACTTTTGATTCATCAATATGATCTTCAGCTTCTTCATCTGATATTCCTTTGACATTATCAATGATTTCCGCATCTGTCAATGTTCCTCATGTTGCCAGGCAGTTGTTCACTAGTAAAAAATCTTCAAAATTAAGTTCAACATCATATCCAGATTTTATTGCATTCCATTCTGGCAAATCTGGCACTGCATTTTCAGCGTTAACATTTTCTTCTTTATTGATGCCTTCAACCTCTTATTCATCATCTTCACAGCTATTCTTAAAACCAGCTTTTTAAAACCCTCTTGGATAGTTTTTAGAGGCATATTTCTCCAGGCAAAACAGTAATTCTGATCAGGGCTAAAGAGAATAGAAGGGCTGGTTCACTCCTTTGAAGTAGCTCTCGCCGCGCCAATCCTCCGATTTCCTCTAGTGACGTCACTTTGACGTCATTTCCTCTAGCGCAAAGCTATCACTTTTACTTCAAGAACGGAGCGTTCGGCCTTACTAGTTCTAACTAATATTGGAGCATTTCTTTTTGCGAGAATTTCTAAGACATTTGTTATTTTCTATAATGACTTTCCTCAGTTTTTGCAGTGAATTTACAAGAATTTAAAACTATTATCGAAATGCCAGTTTGCGCGATTGCAACTTGAAAAAATTTTGATAAAAAAACAAAAGGAAAAAATATAATTTTCCGCGTGTTCCCTAAAGTAAATGAACAACTATGTAAAGAATGGATTCCGAAATGACACAGTTAATATAAAACAGCAATACGTTTATTCTGTCGTTAAGAACTTTTATAAAAATTCATTATCTAAATAGAAACCGCCTCGTTACTTCAAAAAGAAAGGCAGGTGAAAAAAATTAAAAAATGGCTAAAGTCAAAGAAAATTATAATATAAATAAAAAGTATAAATGAAATATATAGTATATAGTTGGAATTCTCCTAATTTCATAACATATTTTTTAATGTAGTTATTCTAAATATTTATGATTTTTTTTAAAAAATATGTTCTCTTAAATATCTATAAATTATATCATCGTAAATTTAAATATCTATAAACAATTGTAAAATTTCTAATGTCATTATGAACCTAAATTATTATTTTGTTTCAGTAATTAGCGTTTAAGGTTGATGCTTCCTAATGATTAAGTATGAACAAATTGCTATTAACGGCATATTTTAAAATCAGGGATTCTAAATTTAACTCAACCTATTGTTATAAAAGAATATGTAGCTAAAAAAAGTGTTGATATATCCTTTCATTTTTCTTAATAATTAAAGTTAAAACTGAACTTTTTAAAATAAAGTATTTATAGTGTCATTTTTCGACAACCAGTAAAACATTTTTATAAGTTTAAAATGGTATTTTTTTTAATATAATGGCCAAGAAAGTTTTTTTGAACTATGTTTATGAACGGAAATAATGTGTTTTTTACGTAAAGTTTGAAAGCTAATAACCAGAAAAAGTCTAACTTATTTTTACAAAGAGAAGGATGCAAAGTTATCATAATATCTTTGCTTGCGATCTCCGAGATCTGTGAACACAGTGACGTCATGAGGAGGGAAATCGTAGCTTCAGCTCTAAGAGCGGAGTGAACTAGCCCTTCTATTCTCTTTAGCCCTGAATTCTGATAGGGTCTAACTTTTTTCATCGATGGCATCTACAAGTTTGCATACGAACTGTTTCCTATAGTTCACTTTCAAACTCTTAATTATCCTTTGATCCATTGGTTGCAATTTTGAGGTCAAAATAAATTTCTATTCCTAGCTTTCTTATCTATGTTGAAAAGCTAACCTCTGATCGCAAGGCCGTAGCCAGGATATTTTTTCGGGGGGGGGGGGATGGTAAGAAGCAAGGACAGTTTCAGACATGCAAAGTAGGGGAAAAACATTGTAACAAATATTGTTTATTCTGTTGTTTGCAAAAGTTAAACTAGTAATTAAAAAATATTACATAATAATTATTTTTCAATTAATATTACATAATAATTATAATCAATTTGTAAACAAAGCTTACAAAGACATGCGACGGGGATTTGAAGAAAATTTTCCGATTACTTTTTTAGGACAAACCGGAATATCCCGAAATATGCTTAATAAAGTTAGCCCTGATAGCCTTTCTTCTTTAGCAGCATTTCTTGTTGCTGTTTTTACGCGTTTAAGAGTAGAAAAAGTTCTTTCTGCAGTTGCTGTGGTGATTGGCAGCGTAGCCAATATTGATAACAAGCAATAAATGTTTGGGAAGAAGATACTGTCACATTCTTCCATTGCTGAAAGCGCCGTAACTAAGGGGTTCACGCAGGTTCCACTTTGATGCCCTTACTTCCATTTCTCCCATGAGGTTTTCGATGTCAATGAATTCTGCGTCGATTCGGAAATTGCATAAATTAATATCAACGTTCACACAATACTTAGGTAACACTTTATTGAGAGATGCAAGAGTATCTTCGTGCTTCGAAAATCTTTCAATCAGTTGGGCAGCGAAATAATCTAAAAAAGGAATGTATATATTTTGACGGAAGTACTGCTCTGGGTCTGTGTTCGGATTTTTTATATTGCCACGGTGATTTTGATAGGATGCCAATCTAGAAAGTTTCACATCTAGATCCAAACTTGTGAAAGTATTAAGGAGTTCCGAATATAGCTTTTGAAATTCATACTCGGCGTTTTTTCTTTTTTTTAGAAGTGTGTTGTTTATTGATTTTACATGTATCAAAGCTGTATTCAAATCTAGATGAATTTGTTGGAGTGCTTTGCTCAGTGAGAGAGTCACAGAAAAAATATTTCTACAAACAAGTAAAGTAATGTAAAACTCACTTTTAGTGATAGTAGAAATGAGATTGTTCGCGGTTTCCAGAAGCCTTTACTTCTTCGAGAAGTTGAATTATTTCTGGATAAAGTTCTTTAAATCTAATGATTGCATCATGGTTTTCTATCCATCTTGTTTAGCAAAAAGATATTTTTTTGAATTTTTCATTCGGCAAATTCATTTTGATGATGTCTTCTAAAATTTTTGTTCTTTTGGCAGACGATTTGATGAATTTTGTTATTGTTTCAACTGTGCCAACACAGTTTCTAACAGCTTGAATACTACAAGAGTGACTAATTGCTAAATTCAAAGAGTGTGAGGAGCAATGTACATATATAGCTGTTGGGTGTAATTCTT